AGCTAAGATTATAGATGCGCACCACCATGCTCGGTTAATTTTTTTGTGTTTTTAGTAGAGATAGGGTTTCACCATATTGGCAAGGCTAGTCTCGAACTCCTGATCTTAGATGATCCTCCCATCTCAGTCTCCCAAAGTGCTGGGATTACAGGCGTGAGCCACTGGGCCTGGCCAATTATTGTCCATTTTGCTGGTATAATAATAATATTGTGAGCCGAGCATGGTGGCATGTGCCTGTAGTCCCAGCTACCTGGGAGGCTGAGGTAGGAGAATCACTTAAGCACAGGAATTTGAGGCTACAGTGAGCTATGATGACACCTGTGAATAACCACTATACTCCAATGTGAGTGAGGGAGATCCCTAAACAAAACGATATTGTGGACATATGAACATGTGTGTATTTTCCAGTGAAATTATGAAATTTGCTTTAAAATACTTAAAAAAAATGTCTACAAGCTAAGAAAGGTTTCAGTGTGCAAATGGTTTTTCTTGTGAATTTTAGGATGGGGCCATGAAAGGGACTCACAGAGGTATACTCTGGCCCATTAAGGGAGAGTAAGTCAAGCTGGGAGCAGAAGTGTGCAAGTCCTCGTGACTCCTATGTGTGAACTGGATAGGGCTTTCCTACTCTAAAACCAAGTGGTCTGGGGGTCAAGGCAGTGGGGAATCAACCTTCTGGGAGGAGGTTGCAGATGCAGAAAAATATCTGCAAGGGTCAGGGCCTAAGCCATACACCTGGGAGAGTGGACACAAGAAATACATGGGGTAGGATGGAGATATGAAGGTTGACATCTTTCAGATGTAATCAAGGTCACTTCATGGTCCACCTTGCCATCTGTGGATAGGCCTGCAAAGAGCTGGGTAGAAGAGAAGGAGTTATCAGAGAAGCCAAGAAGAGAAGCAGGAGGAGGAAGCGGACATGGGGTCCAAAAACATGATTTCCAGTATGAGAAATCCTCCGCAGCTTGCAAAGAGATCTCTAGGAGGGTTGGGAAGGAACTGTCAAAGGTGGTCCCGCTTAACCATCTCCTGAGATGGGTAAATGGGAGAGGCTTTGGCAGGATCAGGCATTGGGGACTCTAACGACTCCCTCCCTTAGCCCAACACCAAGGCCTTGGAGAGAACTGACACCTTTATAACATCAAGACTTTCTCTCCAAGTATATCGTATATATTTCCATTTATTTAGTTTTTTGTTTTTTTTTTTTGAGACAGAGTCTTGCTCTGTTGCCCAGGCCGGAGTGCAGTGGTGTGATCTTGGCTCACTACCACCTCCACCTCCTGGGTTCAAGTGATTCTCCTGCCTCAGCCTCCTGAGAAGCTGGGACTACAGGCATGTGCCACCACGCCTGGCTACTTTTTGTATTTTTAGTATACAAAAAAGAGACAGGGTTTCACCATATTGGCCAGACTAGTTTCAAAATCCTGACCTTGTGATCTGCCTGCCTCGACCTCCCAAAGTGCTGGGATTACAGGCATGAGCCACTGTGCCCAGCCTTTAAAAATTTTTTTTTTAATTTTTTATTTTTTAGATGGAGTCTTGGTCTGTGGCCAGGCTGGAGTGCAGAGTGCAGTGGTTCGATCTCCGCTCACTGCAACCTCCGCCTCCTGAATTTAAACAATTCTCCTGTCTCAGCCTCCCCAGTAGCTGGGACTACAGGGACGCCACCGCACCCAGCTAATTTGTATTTTTAGTAGAGACAGGGTTTCACCATGTTGATCAGAATGGTCTCGATCTCTTGACCTCGTGATCTGCCCACCTTGGCCTCCCAAAGTGCTGGGATTACAGGCATGAGCCGCCAAATGTGGCCTAGATTTTAATATCTTTCAGTAGCCGGGCGTGGTGGAGCATGTACATCTACTGTTAAATTTATTCATTTTTTTTTAAGTGTCTCTCACAGTATGTTAAATTTATTCCTAAGTAGTTTATGTTTTTGTTGCTATTGCAAATGTATATTTTCATTAACATTTTTACTGAGATATAAGATGAAGTACACAAATCAAGCTAAATTTTTTTAAGAGCCCAAATCCACATTTATTTTCATTAGTTTAAATCCTTGAGGGGTAGCATATCGCTCGGATTCTCTGTCCAATAGCCTCAGCAGGAAGATTGCTTCGGAATTTGACACAACCATGCCACTGTCTCTGTGGGCCCGAGTTCTCTTTCCTCAGATTACTCTGGTTTTGCTTGGTTGGCTGCCAGGAGTCACTGTGTTGTTCTTTGTTTTGTATACATAACCGCATCTCTTGCCCAAATAGAATTCTGTTTCATCTCGAGCATAAACACCTTTAATTTTAAGAAGAGCTGTGTGCTCCCTTTGGTTCTAGAGACCCCACTTATAGCTGGAAAAATGGCCTTGGACCACAGACATAGTTGCAGACATAGTTCCTTTTAGAAGTCCTGTTCCCAGTAGGCCTTCACGGGAGCCAAGATGGCCGGAAGAGGTGGTTTTTTGTTTTTTTGTTTTTTTTTTCAGAGGGAGTTTCTCTCTTGCTGCCAAGACTGGAGTGCAGGCAGGATCTTGGCTCACTGCAACCTCCACCTCCCAGGCTCAATTCTCCTGCCTGAGCCTCCCAAGTAGCTGGGATTACAGGTGCCTGCCCCCATGCCCGGCTAATTTTTTGTATTTATAGTAGAGTCCAGGTTTCACCATGTTGGCCAGGCTGGTCTCCAACTCCTGACCACAGGTGATCCACTCGCCTCAGCCTCCTAAAGTGCTGGGATTACAGGCGTGAGCCACTGCACCCGCCTGAGTTTAATTTTTACATGTGTAAATATTCAGGTAACCAAATGGTACAATTTTTAAAGCTACACTTTCTAATTGGTATTGCTGAAGATGGAAATGCAATTGATCTTGTAAACTGATTTTTCCCTCTATTGATCTTTTTAGCCATCAACCTTGCTAAAGTCATTTATCAATTCTATCTGAATTTTATCTTAGCATTGCTGCACATGCAATAATTTCATCTGCAAATATTAACATTATTATTTCTTTGTAATCCTTACATATTTGTTGCTTATTGGACTGGCTATGACTTCCATTATTGTATTGATGAGGATTATAGAGAGCAGGCATCCTTGCCTTGTTCCCCATCTTAAAAGGAAGGCTTTCAACATTTTACCATTATGGTGTTGTGTTTTGTGAAATATTTGAAGATGCCCTTTATCAGCTTATGGAGTTTAAAAAAAAAAATCAATAGGTATTGAATATTTTGAGTAGATTTACTGCATCAATTTAGATGAATCAATTTCCCCTCTTTAATCTGCTAATGGGTCTATATTTTGCTTAGTGTAACATTTAAAAAAAAATGGATAAATATCTTTTGCTACGTGTTTCTTCTCAGGTGTCTCTTCTTAGTTCTCCCCTTTTACCTTCCATTGTTGGTTTTCCCCAGTTTCTTCCTTTACTTTTCTTTTTACTGTGTTCTCTTCAAGCACCTGCTTTTTGGAGTTTTCCCAGGATATCAAAGGTTGGGGGGTGGCAACATGGTTTTCAGACAGTGTCTCCTCACCACCTGCTGCTCTCTACAAGCTTGTTTGAAGTCAAGTTAAAGCAACGGATAGAAGACAATAGCATAGGTGCCAGACCTGCCAATTTCCAACTGTACTAAACCCCTGAACAGACACTTCAGGCCTCTGCTTTTCAGTTTCATAAATAAAACCCTGTCCTGACTACCTCCAGGACTGGATGGAAACACAGATGAGTGGTAGAACGACTTTGCAAACTAGCACCTTTTTCACACGTAAGGGGTTGCTGCTCTTTGTGGGTAACCCTCCATATAGGAACCAAGGAACGAGCTAAGCAGAACCCTGGCACAATTAAGGCCTGAAGAATATTTCAGTTTATAGTGTTACTACTCAGTTATTTCCCTTTATATAATCCTCTCTATATAATCATATATTAGTTCATAGTATGAGTGCCTAAAGAATATTTCCCTACATATATATATATATATAATAATAATATCTTAGTTCGTAATTGGAGGAGTGCCTAAGTAGACACAGTACAGAGCATGAATTAGGGAATAAGAAGCTTATAACCAGAGGAATGCCTAGAGCAGACACAGGGCAGAGCATGATTTAAGGGAAAACAGTTATACCAGGACAAGAATCCATGGCCCAGGTGGCAGTGTCCAGTATCGTAAAGATACCCGCTGTATGGCAGGCTTGAGGTGAGAGCCACCTCCTCCTGATAAAGGAGCTGTAGGACCTTGCTCCAGTTCTTGTGGAAGGCTGCCCTCAGACTGGCAATTGCACCTTCGTGACTGTGAACTTTATCAACTCTCGTTACTGTGCTCCCTGAAAAGCATCTTCCTATAGAACTCGTTGGAAGCTGCCAGTGGGTGGCGGTAGACCCTGACAGCTCTGTCACTACTGTGTCACTTAAAACATCCCCCCATAAATCTTCTTAGAAGTAGTTGCCCGTAGATAGAGGTATTGCACACTGCATTGTCTTCACTGCGCATGGCCCACCTCCATGCCTCGATGACCTAATGGGGGTAGACCCCTTGTTTTACTGCTCACAACCCTCCCTATCACTATCCTTAAAGATGACTTCACTCACTGCCCTGCCCCCTAACCTATACACAATAAATACTCAGCTTCTGGACATTCAGGGCCTCACCTGACTCCACTCATAGGTGGCGTGGCCCCTCGAGCCCAGCTGCATTTTCCTTGTACTTCCGTGTCCTGTCTATTTTTCAGATCCTGCGCCTCAGCACAGCATAAGGGACACCCCACGACCCTATGGGGCCCTCAGCCCTACAGTTCTTGTCACTGATATTGTTAGAGGCAATATGAGTTAACAGAAATAGTTGGATTTTCAAGCTAATGGAATCTAGGTCCATTCCAACCATCAGTGTGACCTTGTAATTCTGTCTCCATCCATCTATGCAAAGAATGTGGCACAATGTAAGAGCTCAGTGAATTTCTGCAATGAGATAATACATGTGTATTGCTAAGCGTGCACCCCACTGAAGAAGCAACCCAAACAGACTTTGTGTGAGCAGCAAGTCTGTTTATTCACCTGAGTGTGACGGGCTGAGTCTGAAAAAGGAGTCAGCGTGGAGGTGGGGATAATAGGCCAGGGCAATGAGTGGAAAGTTACAGGTTAGGGTTGGTTGTTGTTGACTCAGTGGGTTGATCGGTCGGCCGGAACAGGAACCTGTTGTCCTTTGTTGTCTTATTGTTTCAGACTTTCAGGCTCCAGGTAGCCATCTGGAGGCGTACGTGGGGGTTACAGAGTTCATAATGGCTTGACAACAGTGCTACCATCTTTGGGGGACCTAACATGCATAATCTGAAAAACGTAAAATACTCCAAAATGGAAACAGCAAACCTTCCCTGGGCTCGAGACTCCAAAGGCCCTAAACCCAGCACCAGTGATAGCACCCAGGTAAGTAGGTAGAGTGAGAGAAGAGGACTGTAAAGAAAAATCCATTCCTGAGTTTTGAATCCCCACTGTCAGCCTTCAATGGAGCGCTAAATTGGACTCAAAGTTCCTAAATTTAATGAGAAATGGTAACATTACCAGGGAATGAACAGACCAGGCCACTCACGACCACGTGAGGGCGCCAGGAGCCACTTCCGGTCAGAGTCAACCCGGACCAGGAGTGGCCGCGCTGGAGCCGCAATCACGTCGACGCAGTAGAGCAAAACGAGTGCGCTCCCTACTGGAGTCACCAGGTGGCGTTCGTCCCGCCTCTCTTCCGCCACGGTCCTTGTTTACGCAGGCGTGATTTCTTTCCTTCAGCGTCTCCGCCCCTCCTCCTCTGGCTGCCACCAGTTACTTTCGGCCCGCTGCGTTCGAGCCGCGTCGTCCACGCATTTTCTGACGTAGCGAGCCGCGGCGGGGAGCCGAGCGGAAGTCCAGCACTGTTGTCGCTAAAGGAGGGGAGGGGTGAGACGCGTTAGTGGAACCGGAAGTGGAATTAATCCGCCTATATCTACGGCGCCTGCTTCCCAAAGGCATCAGTCGGGCGGGGTGTGGCCTCGGGAGGCGGAGGGTGCTGCGATTGGCTCTCGGCCGTGGTGACAGCGACGATTGGTCCCTGCGTGCAGTGCCCGGTGAGAGTGGGTCGGCCGTTGGAATTCAAAAGTGGCGGGTGTGGCGCGGGGCTAGTAGCTGGCGAAGCCGCGCGAGTTCTTTGCCTTGATTCGCAAGCGGGCGAGAGAACGCGAGTCCCAGGATCCCCAGTACCCAGTCTTCTTCCATTGCGTTCCCCCGGCGCGTGTGGGACGGAGGTGGACATGGATCCTCAGGTAAGTAGGGGCAGGCTCAGGTGTCCCGCCATGGGGATGGGGACGACGGCCGGTCGCTCCGATGCTGTTGCGCCCCCGGTTCCCGGCCGGCCTTTGTCCTGCCTGCCGGGAGAGCGAAGGTCCGTGCGGCCCTGCACAAGTGGAACGCGGCGGAGGCAGGAGACGGCAGAGAGCACCCGGGGAGGTTGGAAGGGACATCTGTCTGTCCTCCCCCAGCTTCAAGTCTCGGGAGCCCCTCCCTTTCATGTCTCCAAAATTTCCCATTTCGAATTATCAGGCTGACACGTTTCCGCCTCTTTATATTCCTACTCAGGATGTGCTTGCAGTGTGTAAGAAGGAAGAGTTCTGATATGACATCTTCCTTTGGGGACATGGTGTCTGAGGGCACATCCCTGCTGATGTCTTTTTGTGTTATCGCCTCTCCTCATCACTGCTGCTTCGGAGTGTAGGAAAGGGAGGAGAGTAGGGTAATCTGGGCCAAAAGACTCCTTATTCTCCCTCTCCTTTCCCAAATTTTGCGGATTCCTGCCCAATGAAACTGATTGATTCAGTTTTTTCTCTTAAATGGTGCCCTGCTGCACCCCACAACCATATGCAGCTTCCTCTCTCTAGTGAAGGGAGATGAATGTGTGTGACAGCTGGAGTGTACTGACCCCTGGTGCCAGGAAAGATCTCCTGCCTGGATCCTTTGTTTATTTGTATTTCATGTTCAGATTTCCCTAAAGTTAGGATTCAACCTTAAGAGATATTCTTTCTGGCAGAGAGCAGAGTAGTGACAGAAGTAGTAAAAGCCTTCACAAATCTATTCATCAAGTGTTTACTGAGCACCTACTACATGCCAGGCTGTTGTAGGTACTTAGGATGCAGCAGTGAACAAGGGACAAATCGCTGCCATCGTGGAGCTACCATTCTATGGGGATACAGACAATAAGTGAATGAATTATATAACTGCTAGAAGGCAATAAGTGCTCTGAAGAAAAGGAGAAATTCAAGGTTAAGGGACGGGGAGAGGCCCACTGACTGGGATAGAGTATTAAATAGGGTGGTCTCAGTAAGCCCCATAGAAAAGATGAGTTGAATAAAGACTTGAAGAAAGTGAGGGAGATAGACAAGTAGCTGGTGAGGGAAGAACATTTCATCAGAGGGAATCTGCTAGAGCAAAGAGTACCTAAAGAGTTGTGTCGTAAGGAGGGAAGTGTGGCTGGAGTGAAGTGAGCAAGGGGAAAAGTTGTAGGAAAAGAAGACAGGTAGTGGGGTTGCTGATCACAGTTTGTCCTTGTGGAGGGTCATTGTGAGGACTTCTACTCTGTTTGAGATGGGGAATCATTGGACGATTTTAAGCAAAGAGAGATAAGATTTGTCAGGTCCAACAGATTTTTGCAGTCATAGCACTCTTCCTTTTCTTTTTTTTTTGAGACAGGTTTTCTTGCTCTGTTGCCCAGGCTGGAGTGTAGTGGCACGGTCATGGCTTGCTACAGTCTTAACTTGCTGGGCTCAAGTGATCCTCCTACCTCAGCCTCCTGAGTAGCTGGGACTACAGGCACCTGCCACTATGCCTGGCTAATTTTTTGTAGAGACAGAGTTTTGCCATGTTGCCCAGGCTGATTTGGAACTCCTGGGCTCAAGCAATTTGCCTGCTTTAGTCTCCCAAAGTTCTGGGATTACAGGCATGAGCCACTGTGCCCTGCAACATTTTTTGTTTGTTTGACTTGGAGTCTTGCTCTGTCACCCAGGCTGGAATGCAGTGGCACAAGCTCGGCTCATTGCAAGCTCCACCTCCTGGGTTCAAGTGATTCTCCTGCCTCAGCTTCCTGAGTAACTGGGACTGTGGGTGTGTGCCACCATGTTGGCTAATTTTTTTTTTTTTTTTTTTGAGATGGAGTCTTGCTCTGTCATCCATGCTGGAGTGTAGTGGTGCAGTTTTGCTCACTGCAACCTCCGCATCTTGAATTCTAGAGATTCTCTTGCCTCAGCCTCCCAAGTAGCTGGGACCACAGGCATGCGCCACCGTGCCTGGCTAATTTTTTGTACTTTTAGTAGAGACAGGGTTTCACTATGTTAGCCAGGATTGTCTCGAACTCCTGACCTCGTGATCCACCCGCCTTGGCCTTCCAAAGTGCTGGGATTACAGGCGTGAGCCACTGTGCCTGGCCAACATTTTTTATTGTGATGACTAGGTAGGTGGGGTTTGCTACTGGCATCTAGTGGGTATAGGGCAGGGATGCTTCTAGGCATCTGACAGTGTACAGGACTGAATTCCAGCCTGGGTGACAAAGTGAGACCCTGTCTCAAAAAAAAAAAAAAAGAAAAAAAAAGTCTTTAGACATTGTCAAATGTCACCTGGGGAATAAAATCACCCCCAGTTGAGAACCATTGGTTTATGATAATCTATGTGCCAGAGGATAGTTTCTTAGGTCAGGGTGGTAGCAGTGGAAGAAATAGTAAAAAGTGGTTGCATTCTGGATATATTTTGAAGGTACAATCAGCCATGCTTTGCTGACAGATTAGATGTGGTATGTAGGAGAAAGAGAAGACTCTTGGTTTTTGGCTTGAACAACTGAAAGATGGAGTTATATCAATTGAGATAGAGAAATCTGCAAGAGGAGCAAGTTCAAAGCACGATTGGGCATCAGAGGTCAGTTATTAGACTTCCAAATGGAGATGGTTTTTTGAGATGGAGTCTCTCACTCTGTTGCCCAGCCTGGAGTGCAGTGGTGCCATCTTGGCTCACTGCAGCTCTACCTCCCAGGTTGAGGTGGTTTTCCCGCCTCAGTCTCCCAAGTAGCTGGGATTACAGGTGTAAGCCACCACGCCCAGCTATTTTTTGTATTTTGAGTAGTGATGAGATTTTGCTATGTTGGCCAGGCTGGTTGGTCTTGAATTCCTGACCTCAAGTGATCTGCCCACCTCGGCCTCCCAAAGTGCTAGGATTACAGGCATGAGCCACCATGCCCGGCCTTAAATAGAGATGTTGAGGATGCAGTTCAGTATAGGTGCAGGATCGAGGTCTGAGCTGGACATATAATTTGGAAACTGTCAGCATATCAGTGGTATTTAAAGCCATGGGACTGGATAGCAAGTATAGACAGAGAATGCTGTTAAAGTCTGGAGAGATGAGGAGGACCTATTAGTGAAGTAAGAAAGGGTGGACTACTGGAAGCTAAATGAAGAAAGCCCATTAAGGAAGAGGAAGTAATCATTTGTATCAAATGTTGTTTGATGGGTCAAGAAACATGAAGATGAAGAATTGGCTTAGCAACATGGAGTTACTGGTGATCTTGAGGATAGCAATTTCGATGGAATGGTGGGAATGAAACCCTGATTGCAATAGGTTTAGGAGAGAAATTGGCCACAGAGAATACACTATAGATAATACTTTAGAGTTTTGCTGCTACGGGCAGCAAGGAAAAAGGATAGTACCTGTTAGGAAAAGCAGAGTTCAGATTCTTTTAGGTTCGAAGAAATAATAGAGTTTGTTGTATGCCAGTTGGAATGATGCAGTAGAGTACCAAGAGGTGAGAAGGGAGGATCACTGCGGGGACATTCCTGCAATTGGGAGGATTAGGTGAGAAGGGCTGAGATGTGATGCGTGTGTGAAACGGTTGCCTTAGGAGCGGGGACATCCATCTCTGATCTTGTGGTGAGGTGGATGTAGGAAGGGTCGCATGAATATCTGTTATTATTTTTTTTCTTTTTGAGATGGAGTCTTGCTCTGTCTCCCAGGCTGGAGTGAAATGGCGTGATCTCAGCTCACTGCAACCTCCGCCTCCTGGGTTCAAGTGTTTCTCCTGCCTCAGCCTACTGAGTAGCTGGGATTACAGGCGCACACCACCATGACTGGCTAACTTTAGTATTTTTGGTAGGGTTGGGGTTTCACAATGTTGTCCAGGCTGGTCTCGAACTCCTGACATCATGACCCGCCCACCTTGGCATCCCAGAGTATTGGGATTATAGGCGTGAGCAACTGGGCCCAGCCGAATATCTGTTCTTATAGAAGGTTAAGTGCTTATATTTCTCATTGTGAAAAGTTGGAGGGCAGCATGTCTAACTTTATATGAATAGATGAGAAAATATATATATACTGTGGTCTTTGGAGTTGTCCTGAATAAACAAACCTTTAAACACATTTTCTGAACTGACATAAATTCCAAGGAGGTAGGTCTGTAGCAGATCTACTATGGTAGTGTAGAAAGGAGGAAGGGCACAGGTTATTTTTAAAAATTAGTGTTTGACTTTGCAATATTTACAGAAAGATTTGGTTTCCATACTATATTTGATTGCACTAAATTAAAATAAGCATTCTTTGTGCACAATTCTATAGGTGGCAGGAAAAATACCACCTCTTTTTCTTCCCTTTTTATTTGTACAGAAGCCAATGGTATGGACATATCACAGTTTAAGTATTGCCCTACGGTTGGACATTTAATTTCATTCCTTCAAAAACTGTAATGAAACAGACATTGTACTAGGCCCTCTGATTATATAGTTATGAACAAAACAGATGAATTCTTTTTTTTTTGAAATGGAGTCTAGCTCTGTCACCCAAGCTAGAGTGCAGTGACAC